CTGCCTCTGCTCATTTTGGTTATCTCCTGCATGCTGAAAACCAGACATAGTTTATCATTTGCTTAATTGAATAACCATTGCCACAATTAGACATCAGCACTGAAGTGGCTTAGGAGGCAAACATTGACTTTTCAAGCTCACCTTTGTTCTAAATAATAAATAGTCTAAATGTATCCAGGGATGAAACTCCTAGCTCAAAAACTAGAGCTTCTAACTTTCGCTAAATGAGTATTTTGAAGTGCATATTTCAACTAATGTCCACAGGTATCTTTTATTGATGGACAGACCCGTATCGTGCCTCCTAGAAGAGATGGAAATACAGAATATATTGAGCTTTCAACCACAGGAAAAAATTCCTTTGTGTGCATGAAAACAAGTAAACAGAAGCATCTTTTCTTTTAAAGTACTTCATGTATTTGTACCCTTCTGTACTAAAATAAATAAATATTTTTAAAAAAATCAATAAAACAGAGGTACAACGTAAGGGTCAGTCAAATCAGAGACTATTGCAGTGTCAGTAAAACCTGTATGACTTAGCTGATTAAATAGGCAATCAATAAATACTCAATAGAAGGGTGCCTCTACGCAAGCTAATGGATCTATTGCCACTGAAGTGCTGATACCGAGTTTGTACGGTTAGTCCTTGAGGGAAAACAGGAAACATTCAGTGAGAGAGATTTAATCTACTAAATCACTTGGAAAACAATGGCAAAAGCAGTGAAACAACATGATCATAAAACCAAAATATTCTGTGGTCATCAAAGCTAGACAATTCAGCTGTTAAGTTCAAACCCCTACAAAGTTCCTCTATGAAACAAGGATTTTATTCTCGGAATTATGAACAAAATAAAAACGTGATAATCTTTAGTGAAACATTTGTGTTGAGAAAGGTAGGGTACAGGAGGGGCCACACACCTACAGGGAGAGTTGGGCAGGCACCAGGAGGTGCCACACGCCTATAGGTGCAGGGAATCCCGTCCTGCTGCAGCAGTGTTTTTGCATTACTGAACATCCTGCTGGACGACTTTCACAGAAAGCTCTGGGCGCACAAGGACAATAAATATGCATCGCCTGAAGAGGTGCACCTGAAAATTAGCATTCCGATACAGACAGAGGCTTCAAATAGCTGTATTCCAAGTTAACTGTTCATTCAGGCATCCTAAAACATTTTCAGAGCACAAGGACAATAAATATGCATCGCCTTAAGAGGTGCACCTGAAAATTAGCATTCTGATACAGACAGAGGCTTCAAATAGATGTATTCCAGGTTAAATGTTCATTCAGGCATGTTAAAACATTTTCAGTGTCCCATGTTTCCAAGGGGATCAAGAAGGAAACGTTTTATTGGAGCTCTCTGCACCAAGTGCATTCAGTGAACAAAGACCCTAGGTGCCAGAGAGAGACCAAGGCCTCCTTGTGCAGCATGTCCTGGTCACAGCCAGGAGCGCTGGTGAACAGTAAAGCAGTACAGAATGCAACACGAAATTCTGCTGATAATTCACATATCTGTCATGGGCATGTCAGACCAACACCTCATGTACTACTGTAGTGAATTCCTTCTGGTAACGTTTTACGTTTCAAGTTTTATATCTAGATTTGACAAGTCGTATCTGCACAGAACACGTTTGCTAGAAAGCTGCCCTCCCAAGTCATCCCACGCGCGTGCAGAGGACAGCACAACCTCGTAACACTGATGGATGTGCCAGGAGACAAACTTCAGCGCCAGAGCTGTTCTGTCTAAAATGATACCCCAACACCTAAGGACAAGGCTTTAGTTTAGTTTTATCATATATCCTTTGCATAAAGAAATGCACAAATACAGGATCACGTTGGCATTATTTTTGCTCTTCATACACTGCTTCTCTCCTGACAGATCTTGAGGGCCTCACACCTCTGGCTTCTTCCCACCACTTTTTCCTATCTAATGGAAGACATTGACTTCAACTGAAGAAAAAAAATAAATAAATACATTTGAGTAGTAACCAAAAAAATCGTGTTCTTTTCTCTCCCTTCCAGGTTTCTTTTACCTGGGGCTTTGTGACTGGGACAAACAGCTATGTAGAACCCCACATGGTCAGGAAATAAGTATTTCCTTATAACTAAAATCTTCTGAGGTATCAGTGTCTGAGCAGATGGCAATGCTACTGCTCCCAGACCCGAGAATTTCATTCTAAAACAGGGATATGCAAGAAGACTGCTCAAAATTTTATCTTTTCTATAACCTTCTCCACTTCCCAGCCCCATATCTCTTCCCTCCTCATGCCAACAACTGCATTTTCCATTCCCACAGCAGCTGTGGGCGTTCGCTGCACTAACGTGTAACTTCTCCCCTTCCATACCTGCAGCTCACACACACACACACTCCACTTCTCTCACAGGTCACTGTGCACATCTCTTAAAACGCTGTATTCCATTAAAACGCACAAGGTTACACAGCTAAATGACACGAGCATGGCGACATATTAATATAAAACTAAAGATTTTTTTTTTCCCCAACTGCAGATACTAATCCCCTAAAACTCAGCTGCAGGTGCTCGAAGCAGGCAGGACAATCGGGTGTTCGTGGCAAGCAAACCTCAATTCGGGAAATTTCGCCTCGAAGGTGTTAAGCCCTTTCGCCATTAACTTCACATCAAATGAAAGTAATCAGATGACTGGCAAATGAAGAATAGCTGGAGCTGAGCTGCCACTTTTAATAACCCAGTTTCCATTTAAACAGGGAGATGGCCCTGGGGTTTGAGAATTTGTCACTACCATGCACACTTGCTGATAGTAAACGCAGATGAGATAAGCCAATTTTAAACAACATGTTCCATCTTACTCCCTTGACCTTAAAAAAATAAAAAACTACATAGCATTAGGGACATCTCCTTGCTTTTGTTATTAAAAGGAGGATACAAACTTATAATACATTATTTCTGCAGAAAGTGGACACTATTTTCAGCATTACCTGCAAGCAATGGCAATGCAGCTTTTCAGAAGTGCCGTGGAGGAGGTAGGCAGGAACAAAACTCTCACAACGAACAAACTTCCATCGAATAAACAGAGCAATTGTATTACTTTTCTGTGGAGTCGTACTTGGAGCAAAATGGCCGCCTATTGAAGCGGCCATAGGAGACGTTGGAGTCAGCACGTGGCGCAGAGCAAACGGTTAATTGGAACCTGCGGCCTAAGGGAAGAGCCACGGAGCCTGACAACAGCCAATCAGGGGGGTCGCCAAGGGCCCCAGCCAATCAGATGAGGCGGGAGCGCGCGGGGGCGGAACTGCTATATAAGGGACGGCTTTGGTTCAATAAACTGTTTTCTTCAGGTTGATTCACATTGGAGCGTCCCGAGCCCACGGTTTTTCTCTCCTCACTTTTCAAATTAACAAGCGGGAATATAAGAATTGAGGTTATCCATACTGAGCCATGGCGTAGCGCCTCGCAGAGCAGTTTTTTTAACAGCTCTAGCAGGAGCAGATATTTCAGTGGGTATTTTTCCAAGGAAGGCAGGAGATTAGCACTGGCTTCCAAATTTCAAGGCTAGTCAGTTTAAATGCTTTTTTGGAAAACTTCCACCTTTATATTCAAAATACAAGTTCATTTCCTATAACCGGGAGAACTGATTTTAACATCTTCATTGTATATCACTTATCTCAAAGTGATTTTCAAAACAAATGTACAATTATAAAATTAGGATTCAGTGGTTTAGAAGAATATCTTCCTGTATGTATGCTGAATTTATGAAACCAAAAAAGATGATCCTTCCAAGTCTGAAAAAATACTAGAAAGGTCACTGAAATTAGACCATAGATTCTGCAGGATTTTCTCACCATGTGGATCTCATTTATCACTAAAAATATATAAAGCTACAACTCAGATCTAATTTATGTGCAACTTTAAAATGCTCCTTAAAAAGAATATAATATCGGTGTTAGTTTTCAGGTTTATCCTATTAAACACTAAATCCCAGAAGTGAAATAGTAGGGAAGCACAGTTCGCATTAGCATCTATACCCAGAAACTGCCAAACTGCCTAATAAATCTACTGAATGGGGGGAAAAATGTCGAGAAGTGAGTAAATAGGAAGGACAGGCAAGCAACCAAGGTGAAGATGAAGTCACATGAAAGGAGTGACAAAGGAAATCAGTGAAAAAGACAGGCGAGAAGCACTGGAGGTTAACCCAGATTTCACAATTTTCTGTTTGTGCAGTCCATTTTCTCAGACATATATTTTCCAGGCAAGTTTTGTCTGTCTTGAGTATGTGCATAAATAGCAGTCTTTATTCGCTCACCATATAATACACATTTTAACAAACAGTTAAGAGGAGATATGAGATTAGAAAAAAAGAAAGAAACACTACATAATAGAAAAGCAGGTAGCTACAAGAGGACAAATCACCGATGCTCACTAGTGGAAATGGGGATCTGCAGAACGATGCAGGTGGTGGCAGGGAGGTTGCGCATAGATGATATCAAGCAATCCAGGAAAAAAGTGCATTTAGAGCACAGCTTAGCTGCAGTAAGGGAAAAATCCGACCTGTGCTTTGTTTCTGCAAGCAGTTTGCATGAACAAAAAACCTGCAATCCTCAGTTTTCTGCTATAAATCCGAAATGACATTAGATCACGTCCCTGGTAATTCCAAGCCATGTTAGATTTGTCAGCTTTGGCACAAGGAGCTGGTCACCACTACCTTGACAAAATTGCTGCAAGACCAAACGACAAGTTGCTCCAATGAGAAGACATCCCACATTGCCGGCTCTGTATAATCTCACAAAAATTTGCAAAAATTCACACAAGGTTCTTTGCCAAGCAAGGGTCACTGCTGGCTCTCCTGCTGACACCAGGGAATTTCTCCGCAGCCGCATTATGAAAATGAAGCAGCTCATTTGTGTTCACGGACTATGCACTGGGCGAGGGAGTTGGCAGCGGACCCTCTTCCTCTAACCAGCGACTCCAACACGTTTCAGAATGAATTAATTCTTTGAACACTATACGAAAGGAAGAAGAAGCACTTACTAGTACAGAACTTCATTGGCTTCATGTCTTTCGTATCTAACAGTTTCACACATCAGTCTGAAAGAGAAGGAAAGAAGTCATGTTTAATTAGGATTCATATCATTGTCACGAAAGACTTCTAAAGTTAGTCATCATTTTCATATCTGCCTCCAGCACTTACACAAACTACCATAAATTAAAGCTGATTGTTAATTCAAGAAAAAAAAACTGTTAAGTATTAAAGTTATTAGCTCATCCTGTATGAGATCTGATTTAGAATCTTAGATGTAATTACTTACCATAAAAAAAGAAAACTATAAAAAGGGTAGAATGATACTGATCTCATTTTTTACAGTGGTCTGATAAAAGAAGTTGCTTTATTATGAGACAATTCACACCCATTGGAAATGGATGCCAGCTTACAGTATGCCATACTGAGCAAAAGCATCATGATATAAGCAATGCTTCCCTTTCCAAGTCAGGCCCAACAGATAAAACACGTTAATCCGAAGAAGCTAAACCTAAAAATCATTAAGAGACGTTAACACGGAGCTGTCAGCGAGCTGGAAGCAGAGTGAATTTTCTGCAGGAAAATCTTCTCTGGCTACAGAGGAGGATTAAATCTTTTTGCATTCAATATGTGGCTGATAAATGTGGTGTAATAGAGAGCAGCTACAGGAGAGCTCGGCAGCGGAGCTGACCGAGGCACCGCACACCCGGTCCCACTTGGTGGAAACCTCAAGGACTTCCCCTTCCCATCCAGGACGGGGCCAGCCATTTCTGAGCGCTTTTCCAACAGGCTGTTTCCACCCAAAGCTTGTGCCGAGTAAAGGCCGTTTTGCTTCCTTGCACAGCAAGCAGCTTTTGAACCCAGATTTCCTCAATTTTAGGCAATGTTCACCAGCGGAGGGGCAACTCGTGCCAAAAGTCCTTACAGGCCTGGAAAAGCTGCCGTCTTGCTCCAAACCCTACGGGCTTCGGGCGCTCTCCCCAGTCCTCTGTTTTGGGAGAGAATTTGAGCGTCGACATGAGGATACTGGTAGCAAAACCATCAAAGGCACGAGAGAAAAAAAAAGAAACAAAAAAAAGAAATCTTTGCTAAAAATGAGTTTTAAAAATGAAAATACTGTTCAAGGACCATGCGGGATAGTCTATACCCCATTGGTCAAAAAAGATTCTGGGCAATAGGCCAGCTAGTAGTAGGGGTTATAGGAAACAGAATCGCTTTATTTCACAAGCGAGTTTTGTTCCCCCGTGAATTTGGAGCAAAGGAAATGCATTCCTGATTCAGCCAAGCAAGTTCACCGCTCCACCCTGGCACTGCATGAGAGTTTTATGGTGTTTTAATATGAATGGATAGTAATAAATAGCAGGAAAAGCCTCTCTTACAGGAGAGAGCCAAGTGTTTCAATCCTATATTAAACTGCAACAGCTAGAACTTAAAGTGACTGAACAGTAGAAACTCTATTACCTCTTTAAATATTTAGAAAATAGCATAAGCTTTGGCCAATTGGAGTGTTTACTTTTCACTAGAATATGATCTTTGTCCAAGAGATCCTAAAGCTAAACAAATCCTAAAAGGGATCCTAAAGCAAACCTTAGGGACAGGGTTTAGCAGCCATGGTGTCGAGGGGTTTACGGTGGGACTCAATGATCTTAAAGGTCTTTTTCCAACCATAATGATTCTATGATTCTTTGAAAGGTAATAAATTCAAGATTTTATCACCAGCAGTTGCTCACTAATAAGGGCTATATTTAATACACTAGTTCCAATGCATCCCTGAGGGGTTTTTGGCATCTCACTGCCACGAGAAATGCTGTATCCTAGACAATTTTAGGAAACCTTTTTCTCCCACAGTTGCAAAGGGAATGCAGCCTTTCCCATGTATGGTACTGTAAACAGAAGCTCTCTTCTAGGAATTCACTGTGCTGGGAGAGCTACCCGAGTTCCACACATTCCTGAGCAAGAACCTCATCCTGGCCGGGAAGCCAGAAGCCGCATATCAGAGCACGCAGCCACACGTGCATCCCTTGATCCCGGCTAGCAGGAGTCCCTGCTGTTCCAGCCACGCACAACGGGGGCAGCAAGGGTCCTGCGTGGGAGAGCGCGAGAGAAAACACCGCGGGGTATCATCACGGCGTCCTCCAAAGCACATGGAATTAGACAGTTTTTAAGTCAATTGCAAAATACGTCCCAAGCACTTCCCCAGGGGGGGAAAAAATTCTTCTTTTCTCAAATTTGCCAAATACTGGCTATGAAATAGGCTATGAACTAGCCTAACCCCAAGCTGCATCCTTCAGGCCCCAGGCAGCTGCCACCACACTGGTGTCCTGATGCCACAAACCCAATACCCAGCTGAACCAAGGTACTGAGGCCAAACACGAGCACATCTTCAAACAGAGAAAGCTCAGAAGCTTTTGCTTGAATTTCTTTCCTTGAATTTTAAGCCACAAAAACATCATGGCTTAAACTAATAAAAAAATGCTGTTTTTTTCACTAGTTTCTGTGAGTATCGTGTGCATGCGTAGTACATGGTATGTCAGAAACTTATGCACAATAACAAGCACCAAGTAACACAGAATCTGAACAACAGAGTCTGCTGTTGCAGTACACAAATGATTAGGGCTATAAATGGGCTTTCATTCAGGTCTGGAACTTGTACTCTGTATGCACAGTATTTATTGCTTGTTTGAAAGCCTGAAGAGAGCAAAATGCATTCATAACACAATATAACAGAAATTCATAACAGAAATTATAAAAGAAATAACAAGCAACAAGTGGGGTACACACATGCACACAAACAATATTAAAAGTGTTAGCATAACAAAATGGATATAGAGAAGAAGAATGGGACACAAAAATGGCTAGCTTTTCAATTTGAGGTATGGCAGAGAAGGGTGGCCTACCGCTACAGACATCTCCGTTCCTCTCCTTTGTTAGTTAATCAACATGTATTAATACGTTAAATATTCCAGAAATAATGAAATAATGACTACATTTCAATAAATGCTATGTTAGTATAGTTATGGCATACAACTTCAAATCACCACTTCTTTTTCTGGCAGCTGGAAAGTTCTTCCTGGTAGAAATTTTATTCAATTTGACTGAGTTTTAGCTTCCTAATAATTATACCCTATGTCTGCTGTCTGCCATGGCCACATCTTCCCACAGCACCTTCACTGCAAAGCCTCTCAACTTCAGCTGCCATTGAGGATTAAATGTGAAGTCTGTTAAATAACTTCCTAATCAACTTACACTGAAGATTATGCCATGAATGATGCATCGTCTGGATGCAGAAGTGATGAAAAGATGTGCAAAAACTGCTCCGATAGGAGCAGCTCCTAACGCAAGCTGTTCAGCTCAGGTGTGCAGACAGCCAAGGAAAATAAAATGTACAAGGTACAGCAGGGACTGGCCTTTTCCATGGCAAGGGGGAGGACTGGGGCAGCCAGGGGCTGGCTCTAACCTTCCCCTCTCAGCAGGAGGTGAAACACCACTGTCCGGGGCCTTTGATCAATTCGGGTTTAAATACATACTGAGGATGGAAGAAGCTTCACACCAAAAAGCTTGAACTGCAAAAAAGATTATAATCACTTCGAAATATTTTATAAAAATAGAAACATTACAGAAATCTTCTTTGTATTTCACCTTGATGACACTTCATCTCACAAAAGTTGAAACTTTCTGCTAGAAGTCTGTAATAAAAGTTACGAATTATTTCATAGCAACCACGGAATTATCATTTAATTAAATATTAAGTGTAATGAAAAATGTTTGCCGTCAACTTGGCCTTTTTGATGGAAGGGCCAACATGCAAGTGTTGAACAGATGATTAAAATACTACTTCCACATATCACAGAAATAAGTAAATACATAGAATCGTTAAGACTGTGATGTCTGTAAGAGATCCGTATTTCTACACAACCGTGGCCACGTTTTCTCCACACACAAGCAGCAATGTTTTGATAAAGTATCGTACCTTAGCTGATGTTCTCTCAGATTAGACAGGGCTTCCATTCCATGTAAATAAGAATACACAATCTCCAAATCCTACAAACAAACAGGAAATATTTATTAGAATCCCCAGAATCGCACAAGTTGTTAACATGCTGCTTACATTAAGCTTCTGGAGTTCTCCTAGTGTGAACGACATAAACATTGGAAATAGCACATTCACAAGACTTAATTACAAGACGAAAACCTTGGATCAGGGTTTGGAAGCCTACGAGGGGAAGAACGATGCTGTCCACACCATGAAATACTGAAAACCTTTAGACTTTGGCTGCCTTTACTCAGGTTCAGTAAACAAGACGGGTCCCGAACTCCAGCACTTTGCAACTGCTGCTGCCCTGCTTCCCAATGCCAACATACTTGAAAACTCCATTTATTTTGCAAAGCGAGCTTGTGGGAGTGTGAAGTAGTCTTTTTTTTATGTTTGGGGGAAAATAAATCTGACAAAATTCCCCCCCCAAAAAAAATTCCAAAACTATATCCTCTGCAAATAGAGCAGCTAAATTGCAAAATGCACATGTAAACAAGAAAAAAAAATGCCTCCCATGACCAGAAAATGACTACGATAACAGTAAGAAAAATGACTACAGTCCTAGTTACACAGCAAAGTTTAAAAATCAAGACTAAAATCCAGCCAGAACAGTTCCTGTGGACCTCAGATACCCTGCTCAGAAAACAACACGGTGAAGAGTCAGCACGGACACTGAGTGACTCTGCAGATGTGGAAGCGGACACTGGGCACATTATATCAGTTATATCCACTGTATGGGACATGAGAATCCTCCAAGACACTCTGCGCCTCTCCAGAGGGTGAAACAGCTCCCTCTAGCACTCAAAGTTCGGGATTGAAATTCAGGTAGCAAATTCCGGCGTCATGCCTTTCCTTCAATTCCCAAAGCTGCAAAATGTAGAAGGCTGGAGCAGAAAACCCCACTAAATTATCTCATGAGGCACTTCAGTTTTCCACTTACTCCAGAAAACCCTTAAAAAAAAAAAAAAGGCAGCAAATATTAACATACTCGTTACTGAGCATAAATGTTTTATAGCAATGCAAGAATTCTGCAAAAATATTTGCAGAATTCACAGACTCGGTGAAGCCATAAAAGGCATTTTACCAAACTTAAGCATGGGACCTATGCAATTTCCAGGGATGGCACAGCTCAACTCGCCCACCTCAGGCCTGCAGCATTTTCGGCCAATTTTAGCAGCAGCCTGATGCACTTTTCCTGCTGTTTTCCCTTCCGTAGCGCTTTCCTCCCGTACATTTCACACCGTTTCCATTGCGTTTCATGCCACAGGGTGGCAGGCTGAGCCACCGCTAGCTCAGGGACCGTTTCCTTCGCACACACTTTTCTCCCAGTCCTTTATAGCGGTTTATGGAAGCCAGCAGGAGCAAAGCTAATTTTAACTGCTGCAGCTGATAAAACACTCTGCTACCATAAGCCATATCCATAAAAAGAGCAGGAGGAGCCACTAAGAGCTTGCTCAACGTGTCACTATTTGTTGGGGGACCGGGGTGCCCGTGGGCTCTCGCACACGACGGCCGGGCTCGGCTTCAAGGAGCTCTGTGGAAACCTGTCTGCAGCTCCACACGGGATCTCAACTGCAACAGAACGTGCACCTGCAGCTACGCACAGGCCTTCCTGCTTGCTTTGCTCTGTTTTCAACTATTTCGACCGCATTTGCCATGTCTGAAACCATGGCATACGAGTGGAGGAGCCTTCCCTTCCCTCTCAGGCCCGCGGCTGCAGCAGCTCTCGTGTCCATGCTACGAAGGTGGCGGCTCCTCGGGCTGGAGAACGTGGGACCTGAACGTCTCGGACTGGCTTAAATGGGCCATGAAGTCACCAGCAGGAAGGCGGCCCCACGGCTGGGATGGACAAGTCTCATGAGGGGAACCTTCCCTTTCTCTTCTCAACTATCTTAATGCATTTTTGCTCAATCTGTGGTACGCTCACAAGAGCGACGAGGCCACATTTTTCTTCCTAGGAAGGATAAAAACTGCAGTCGGAACCAATGTTGCTGCAGTCTTGGCTCTCTGTCCTTGGAGCTGCATGATCCCAGCCTTTTCCTTTTATTTCTGGCATGCAGCACTGGAGCTCATTGGCTCCCTAGCTGCTCCGATAGCGATGCCAAGCAGATTTTTTTCCCCCCGTTTCTTGTGTCATTCATTTACCACTTGTCTAGCTGCCTGCACTGGTCCACGAGGGCCAAAGCAACTTCAGGGCTGCCAGGAGGAAGGGAGCAGAGCTCAGGAAGAGCAGCTCACGCGGCTGCAGGGACAGGAGCTCCGCTGACGTGAATTCCACGGCTAGTTTAGCTGCAGCGGCCTCGCTCGCTTCTCATTGACCCTTGTGCACGTCCGTGTCCGCTCCGCAGCCCTGCTCCCGATTCCCGCTCCCGATTCCCGCTCCGATTCCCGCTCCCACGCGGCCCGCGGCAGCTCCGGAGGGGACACGCGGCGTTTCTCCGAGGGAAACGCGGCACAAACTGCGGCTGGAAGCTCCCCCGGCAGATCCAAGGCCTTGGATGGAGGGCAGGCCGCCCCTTCCAAACGGTGGATTGTCAAAAAACAGGACAAAAACCCTCAACACCCTCCACACGGAACAAAAACTGATTCGCTGAGGGGATTGAAATGAAGTATTTTTCACGTCACGCAAAGCTGGACGCTTTATTTTGGTCTTTTACGTGAAGATGTTTCAAGGCGAGGGGAGGGCGGGCTGCCAGAATCCAAGCTAAAATAGCACAGTTGAAGATAAATTACTTAATCTGTTACTTTTTAACCCATCTGAAGGCTATCAGGGTATTTGCGAGCCATCCTCCGTGGTGCACAGGCTTCCAGAGACAGACCTGCGGCGCAAAAAAACAACAAAGCCAAGGATGGTTGTGTTGTGAAATTACCATCCATATTAAAAGCAGGTGACAAAACTGCAGAATTGGGCTGGGATTAAAAGATGTGGGACTCTCACATCTCAGCACCCGCTAAACCCACCACAGGGCAAATTTTAGAAGTCCATCTGACTGCGTTAACTTCTGAACACCCTTCACATCTTAAACGCATATTGAATTTGTCTCACCTAACACACATTATTGTGGCATTTCAGAAAACGTGTGTGACACAGCTTTACTGCACGGGAATCGGCGTCACTGAGCTCAGGAATGAGCCTTTAAAGCACTTTGCAGAGCAGCGACCCAATGTGAGCCCTCACCTCCTCCCCTGCATCTACATGAGGCAAAAATACAGAAATTAAAATGATCTTAAGAGTTGTTGACACACTAGAATTGTTATTATTAGCTCCATTGGGAGTGGGGGCATGGGGGAGCAGAGGACATTTGTTCTGGGTTGCAACAGGAATTTCGGATTGGAAACAGGAGGAACAGGCAGTTTTAATCTGGAGCGGCAGTACCCACATATGACGCTAATCGGGAACAACTCCAAAACCTTGTAAATATTACAAAGAAATCCCATTTTCCTGGTTTCCCTTAACAGGGAATTGTCCCAGTACGGAACAAAAACACCCTTCCCCAAAGCCTGCAACTGCATTACTGCCTCCAAATAACCGAGGCTGGAGAAATATCACTGGATCATGGCAAACAGCTGTGGAGAAACAGGATTTTTGTGCCTTCCTCTGCCCTCACTGATTTGAGAATATGCTTCACTGCAAAGAAAATTTCACCTGAAGTATTTTATTATTTTCCTATTGGAAAATGGGTTAAAAGTCTCCACTTCTACATAGTGCCTCAACAGATTTACGTGCAATAACACAAACAGCTCTTGTTTGGGGATTTTCAGTCTTGCCAGTACAACCTGCTCAAATGGCCCCTCCTGGACAAGCAGATTTTTAATACTAGCTCAAAATTAGCACAATTGATTCAGCATATCCCACTGCTCATAATGCTTTTAGCAGAATAAAGCACAGAAATCAAGACGTTCCTGATTATAATCATCCTGTGAGATGGGGGTAAGCGCAGAAAGGCTAGATGGGAAATTAAAGCCTGCCATCTCATGGAAATCATTGAAAAAAACCCAATGAACAGGGGAAATTACAGGGTAGCCTGTGCCTTTCTTGTCAGCTTTCAGGACTCTCCCAAGTCAGACAATTAAATGCTAGCACAAAAGCGCAAGGTTCCGTCGTAGCCTTTGGTCGCAAGCCCAAGCGCAAACAAAATGGTTTCGCTCTAAAAGATGTCGCCTGCAGCCTGCACAGTCCATTATTCCGAAAGGCACTTAAGTTATTCACCATTAAAAAAAAAATACATAATTGCCTTTCCCCTCCTTTTCAATATTTATAGCCACCAGTTGGAAACTTGCATTAAATCTGCTCTATCCATTTTCACATTTGCTGCACAAACACTCACGTCTTTTGTTGCACATTTTGCCAGTTCCTGCGGGGGTTGGTTTGTTTTTTGTTTTAATGCTGAGGAGAGTCTCGGATCATTCACAGGCAGCCTGTTACTTATCCCATGTTTTCTATTAGTTGTGGAGCAAGACTCCAATATCCTACTAAAGAAAAAACACATCAATCTAGGCATAACAACTAGATCAGGCACTAAACACAGCGGGATTTATTTCTGAACAGCTACTTGCAGCAAGAGATGAATGTTCTATAAATGCATCTAAGCACAGAGGGCTCCAACGACAGGTAATTTTTGTACCAAAAACCAGAAACAAGGCCCAAACAGGGAAATTGAAGTGATCCACAAGAATCCTGGAGTGAACCACTACAAGGTAACTCCTGCTGGGCTCCGCCATGCGGAGAGCAAAAGGAGGATGAGGGAAACGTTTAAATAAGAGGTAAAAGCAAATGGGATGGGGAGGGAAGGAGAATGACGGAGCAGCCAGGGCTAACACATGTGACACTGGTTTAGGAACTGCAGTTCAGACCGCCTAGGCCTAACTAAAGCAGAGTTTCCCACCCATCTCCATGCAGGAAGCACACTGCTCAGGACTGGGGCTTGAGGAAATTCCCATGGCAGTGGGCAATGCAATCTGTTTTACGAGAGGCCAGAGCTGCTGCAAAGCCCCAGCTCACAGCACTTTAACATTA